GGGGCGGTGGCGGGGCAGGGAAGAATGATTGAACTGGAGAGCTGGAGGGCGGGAGAAGAAAGCGCCTCGTCTCGGTCTCCTTTCCCACCTCGCCTCACCTCTGAGTTGGAGGGGAGAGAAAACTCCTCCCCCAGCGGGCTGGCCAGGAAAGAGCACCTGGGATGGCTGGAGGAGAGGGAAAGGGGCTTTCTCGTTGACACACCCAGGAAGCGGCTGAGGAGCTGGGGTTGACAAAATCAGATTGGTTGGTGCCGATTTCCACTGGCTTGGCCAAAGTTGGCAAATGCCTTTGCAGGAGTTGCCGATCTAAGAAACGTGGAAGGAGGGTTCCCGGGAAGAGAATGGCAAACGATGTAGCCTGCCCTAAGAACGGCTGGGAAAATGTCTGAATCTGTTAAATCGGCATTTATTGAGACAGGGAGGGTGTTTTCTAGAGTAGATGAATGGGACTCAGCGCAGGCAAAGGAGATGAGGCGTTCTCCCAATGTGTAGATTGCTTGCAAATAATATCCATCTTCCAGTCCCTAATGTGTATCATCTTGTGGACTTTTGTGCTATTGGCAGACTTTATGAATTCGTTGCTCTCAGTTAGAGAAGTTAAAATACATTTGGCATCCCTGCTAAAATTGTCACTATAGGAAATCTGCAAATTCAAACTGTATCACCTATAATATAAAAGTTTCAGCCTCATTTGCCTGCGTGATGGGATGATATAGTGTCTTCTACACTCAAATAATGTTTTGTTAAAAGACTCTTACAAATATGAAATAAATGAGAAATTTAAGATAAAATATGAATTGGTGCTGTGTAAATACATACAGAAGGGTTGTGGAACCTTTTTTGGGTCAGGGGCTGCTGACCCCCAGGAAGTAGATTTTGTGTGCTCCAGCTTCACGGTGGCCAATTCAGGCTCCCCAGTGCTGGGGGTGGGGGGAGCCGCGAGCTTTGGGGGCTGGATTCAAGCAAGCTGGGGGCTGCAGGTTCCCCACCCCTAAGATACAGTATTACATTGAGCTGGGCAATACACTACATTTTTATTCCTTAACAATATCTAAATACTCAGGGCGTTGTGGCTGCTCTTTGCATTTACAGTCATCCATAACTCCTGAAAATAAATTAAACTAAGCCTCACATTGTTTCGTTCTTTAACATACTATAGACCTTTAAATTTTGTGCTCCAAAAGATTTGTATACTCTGTTCTATTTCTGTAATTGTATTAGTTGACACATTCAGATATGTTAATTTGCAGCATCTCCTTAAAGATTCAGTGGAAACATTTGGTATAATGGTGAATGTTTTCATATTCTTGAGAAAAATATTTTCATGCATTTATGAAGATGATAGAGATAATTGAAAATTTTCCATTTGTATGTTTTCTTGACAGGACACAACTTTGACAAAATGTTTATTGTACCCTCTCCCCTTTTCTGTGAAAACAGTGAAGAGAAAATCATTCCTAAATAACTCTAGTTTTACTAAAGCTAATCCAGTATTTTAGGAAAAAATGTGAGAACAAGAGTTGGTGGCTGCATTCCGAGGCCACCAAAACCGTTTTTTTTTTTTTTTTTTTTTTGAGAACTTCTGGCCTAGGTCAATGTTATTCCGTCGGCCTACTTGTGTCTATGCTGGGGGCTAGGTTGACATGGCTACAGTGCTTAGGTTTGGGGATTTTTCACAACTGAGAGTCCCATAGCTAAATTAAACTAAGTTTTAACTCTAAACCTGGTCTAATTGCTAGCTGGAGTGATACTCAAGTGTAATAGACTACTTTGAGTCATAAAAGATTATTCATGAGGTGCTAACGTTCATAAAGCACCTGCAGGTATGGGCAATAATTTTTGATGAGGGGGCCAGTCTAAGAATTTGGAAAGTGTTGAAAGGCTGCACTTTTCCATATTAATGGGGAAGGTGCAGAGTCTGGGATGGAGGATGGGTGTAGAAGAGAGCGTGCAGTAAGGGATTGGGGTGCAGGAGAGGGCATGGAATCTGGGCGGGGGTTTGGGTGAAGGAAGCAGTTGTGACCTGGGTAGGGGACTAGGGTGCAAGGGTTTGGGTTGTGACCTTGGGCAAGAGGGGGTTGTGACTTGAGGCCGTGGAGTGGTGTACAGGAGGGGGTGCATGGGTTTGCGTTGTGACAAGATTGGGGTGCAGGATCTGGGAGGGAATATGGGGGCAGAGGATTTGGGTTATGTGGGGTAGAGATACAGGAGGTGGGTAGAGGGTTTGGGTTGTGACCTGGGGCAGGGACTGGGGTGCAGGATCTGGGAGGGGATATGGTTGCGGGAGGGGGGGCAGAGGGTTTGGGTAATGTGGGCTGGGGAGCAGAGTGTTGGGGTGCCAGAGTCTACCTGCTGACTCCCAGCCAGCAGCCTTCTTAAGCAGCCTTCCTGCCTGTCCTGCCCCAGCACTGGCTGCAGAGGCCATGTGGTTTTTGAACAGCTAGGATGAGCCTGAGGTTGCGTACTGCCTGGCTGGGACATGCTCACACTGAGTGAGCGTGTCTACCAGCCAGGCAGAATGCAATCACTGGCTGCAGGCCATGTGGTTTTTGAACAGCTAGGATGAGCCTGAGGTTGCGTACTGCCTGGCTGGGACATGCTCACACTGAGTGAGCGCGTCTACCAGCCAGGCAGAATGCAAT